AGCAGAGGAGAAGGTCTGGTTTAAATGAGTATATTTAACACGGACAGTTAAGATAAAAATATTTGGTTTTTTTTTACATCAAAAACTGAAACATCGTACTGTAAATGGTTATCGAAACGAATGATTTTCCAGCTATGAAGCATCTGGAGTGGCAAGACAGCTGTCAGTCTTCCAGTGAACATCAGTTAGCAATCACTGAAGGAAAACAAAGTCTGTGGTCCCTTGTGCCCTTTGAGCTCGGTTGTTTTCTGGCAGACACTTCATAACCCAACTAGGTAATATCATCACGGCTACCTAGTTCAGCGTTTCTCAACCTTGGCAACTTGAAGATGTCCGGACTTCAACTCCCAGAATTCCCCAGCCAGCGAATGCTGGCTGGGGAATTCTGAGAGTTGAAGTCCGGACATCTTCAAGTTGCCAAGGTTGGGAATCACTGACCTAGTTCATACCTACCAACACCCAGCACTAATGATGCTCCTTAGTTGGGTCATGAAATGTCTACCAGAACATAGCCAAGCTCAGAGAGCATCAAAACAATCTCTTCATTAAAAACAAAATGGGTCTTCTATAAACTGCAGGACCCAGATAGAAGCCTGTCGCTCCCAATCCTATTGCTGTAAGAAGCAGAATGTTAGGTATTTATATACATCATGGCTAGATGAATGTACCTAATTCTCACCAGTGTTATGGGTAAAACACAGCTGTATGCATGAATAAGAAACTGTAAGTGACATACACAATTCTGTGCTTAGTGGAAAGATACAAACTTCTCTGTAGGCAGCACATAAGCTGTGAAAAGTTGTGGGTGAATGTCAGACCTCTTTCACTTCTTGCTATATTGGCAAAAACTGTCCATTGTAGGCAAAATAACTAAGCACAGACATAATAAAAAGTAGCACTGGTGAAGCAATGATCATGATAGAAAAATTGACTTCTAAAGCCATAATATATCTGTCTAAAGCAGCTGTAAGACTTCCCATGTAAATACAAGTGAAGATGAGTTTTGCATAACTTGTTTATTTTTCTTTGTTGAGGAGGTCTCAGTTCAAGGCCGTGTGCTTGAACTGAATTTGTCAGTGTTATGAAAGACAATACAATATTACAGTATATTCTCTTGAACTTTTGGGTTGCAGGCAATAAGAAGCAATGCCTCATTATTTTATATTTCTAGTGCAAATAATCAAAACTATAACTATCGCCAGATTGTAAGCCCGTAAAGGAATTAATTTTTTTAAAAAAATCATGTAATCGCTTAGCAATAAAAGTGAAAGTTTCCATTGCACATATTTGCCAGTCGTTCCTGACTCTAGGGGGCGGTGTTGATCTCCGTTTCAAAGCTGAAGAGCCAGCACAGTCTGAAGATGTCTCCGTGGTCATGTGGCCAGCATGACTAAACGCCGAAGGCGCATGGAACGCTGTTACCTTCCCACCAAAGTGGTTCCTATTTTTTCTACTTGCATTTTTACATGCTTTCGAACTACTAGGTTGGCAGAAGCTGGGACAAGTAACAGGAGTTCACCCCGTTATGCGGCGCCAGGGATTCAAACCGCCAAACTGCTGACCTTTCTGATCGACAAGCTCAGCACCTTAGCCACTGAGCCACTGCGTCCCTAGCTTAGCAATAGGATACTGTATAAAAATTGTACACACACACAGTTCCTACATCTTTCAGGTGTTTAACATTTAAAAATCACCTGCCCAGGTGAAAAAAGAGATGAGCACCAAAGTGTCCTTTTTAGATGGCATTCTCTCGACAGGTCACAGAGCCACGAAAGGAATGAATGAAAGGGTTCAGACAAATATATATGGGAAGGGATAATTTTAAGGTGTCCATTTTTGACAACTTTAGGACTTGTGGACAGGCTGGCTGGGGAATTCTAAGTGTTGAAGTCCACAGGTCTTTAACTTGTCAAGGTTGGATGTCCCTGTTCTAAATTATTCTGAACTTTGCCCAAGTTTCATTTAATGCTTGGAAGTTCACTTGAACTGATTTTAAAAGGGGATCGGAAGACACATCCCAAGGAAGCAGTGGCATCCTTAATCATATTATACAATCAGCAATATCTTAAGTTCTTCGGTTTGCCTGATGTTTGAAGGCCAGACAAGGAGCAATGTCTGAAAACTGATCAAGGAGAGATTCAACCTAGAAATAAGAGATTTTTTTTTTTACCATGACAGCAATCAACCAATGGTACAGAAGTTGCCTTCAGAAGTTGTGAGAGCTTCATCCCTGGAAGCTTTCAAGGAAAGGCTGGACTGCCCTCTATCAGAAATGGTGTACAGTCTCCTGCTTGTGTGGGGGTTGGACTAGATGACCTACAAAGTCCCTTCCAATTTTGTTAAGATGTTACATTCCTGAAACATTTTCAAAACTAGCTTACCAAGATATCGAAAGACAGCGATGAATGAAAGATGAGTGGACTGAATGCTCATTACCAGAATATATGGGAGCGTGAATCACAAAGCTGACGCAATCGCCCCTCTGCCATCCCCAAGCTATTTACAGGATACTCAAAAACACTCAGGCTGTATTTGTGTTTCTTAACGACGACGTCTCCAAGTGATGTAACTGAAGTTTCAAAGAAAGCCGAACACGTAGAATATTGTGAACTCTTTATGGTGCCAATCCACAAACTCAGATAATCCTCACCAGTATTTTATATCAAACAAAATGAGGGTTTCATTGAAGCCCTAAGAAAGAATGTAATATAATTATCGCAGGACAAAGCAATAATCTCCTAGCACTACCTTCTGGTAATAAGCCTAAACATGTACAGAATCATCATGAAAGGTTGGCTCCCGTAGGATGTCATATTCGATACATCAAATGCTGGCGAGACATCTAAAAGCACTGCAAGATATGTTCTTTCGCTATCTCTTTCTCACTGCGAACATCCTTTGGCATAGTGCCTAATACTGTAACCACTCTAGGAATATCTCGGGCGCTGCCACAGGCAAGAGGGAGCGACGCTATTCTCCAAAGCACCTGATGGCAGGACAAGAGGCAATGGGTGGAAACTCATCAAGGAGAGAAGCAGCCTAGAACTTTCTTGTCTCCAGAAGTTGTGAATGCTCCAACACTGGAGGTTTTAAAGAAGAGATTGGATAACCATTTATCTGAAGTGGTGTAGGGTTTCCTGCCTAAGCAGGGGGTTGGACTAGAAGACCTCCAAGGTCCCTTTTCCAAGTCTGTTATTATAAAATTGAATGGATTCAGAAAATCAGCTTAATCTACAGAACGCATGAAGTTTGGCAGTTTCTGCCCCTTGTAGGGGGTCTTTAGTGCTCTCTGAGTTGGGTTGTTTTCTTGCAGACATTTCATGACCCAACTAGGGAACATCATCAGTCCTAGGAGCAACCTCACTTGCTAATAGTACCGATGATGTTATCTAGTTGGGTCATGAAACGTCTGCAAGAAAGCTCAGGGAGCACCAAGGTCTCACAGTCACCCTCCTCCCCCTCCCACCTAGCACTGGTGATGTTCCCTAGTTGGGTCATGAAACATCTGTTAAGGAACCAAAGCTCAGAGCAACAAGGACCCCACAGTTCAACCCTGGGCTACAAATATTTTCTTCTTTTGATAACTTCCCCTAGAAGCCACAAGTAGAGAAACATGGATGCAGGGACATGACATCGGCATCACCCAAACGCCACAACTTAGTACTTGCATCACATATTGGAATGCGAGTTTGTTGTAAGATTGCCATTGATGAGCTATCGTTGGGAATTCAATTTCATTTCATTGGCTCCCAGATATCCCAGCTGGCCTTTTATATCTGTGGTTTAACCACAGATGTGAATTTGTGTAGTGGGCTAAACCTTAACGTGTTGCAATTTTCCTTTATTATATTCAGGGTGATGTGTGAATCTGTCATGCGGGTCATAAGGTGAATGTGGCTTTGTCCACAATTCTGACTAAGCAAAACCTTAAAGTCTATGACAATTAGTGTTTTTTTTTTTAAAAAAAAAACAACAACACTGATTTTGAAATACTATATGAATATTTTCCTATGAACTAGATGTCATGTAATACACAGCGGTCACAATTAGTCTGGAATTGGTTGCCCATGAAAGCTGTGTGGGAAAGATTTTATTAGTGGCCCCAGAGTCAACCTCATGAGGAAGTTGCCCACGTGGCAGTCATTTCCCTGCCGTCTTTCCATGAAACGTTTCTTTTGCTCCAGAGAGCTTCTAATTGCAGAATCGACCACCAAGGAACTCCGTCAATCAACAGCTGCTTCTCATAAACTCTTGTTGACACATTTTGCACCTCATCATCGCACCTCTTTTCTTCCCCATAGAGCCCCCAGTAATCTGAGATTGAGGGAGGCGGTGGCTCAGTGGCTAAGACGCTGAGCTTGTCGATCAGAAAGGTTTGAATCCCTAGTGCCGCGTAAGGACAATGACTCAATGCCGAAGGGGCACGGAAAGAGCTCAGTGGTTAGAGTGCAGTACTGCAGGCCACTTCAGCTGACTGCTAACTGCAGTTTGGCGGTTCAAATCTCACNAAGAAAAGAAAGGAAAGGAAAGGAAAGGAAAGAGAAAAAGAGAGAAAGGAAGGAAGAAAAAAGGAATGGAAGTAAGGAAAGAAAGAAGGGAAAGAAAGGGAGGAAAAGGAAAGAAAGAGAGAAGGAAAGAAAAAAAACAAAAAAACTTACCAGATCGAGGCCGCTGAATACTACGGTCCCTTGCAAATGTTGGTAACAGTCCATTTGTGTGAGAAAGCAATCAAGGAAAAAGATGAGCTCCTTTCTTCCTAAATCTAGTGAGCAACAATCTTCAACCTCCAAGAGCAAAGAAACTCCAGCCAAGCGAGCTAGTTTTCAAAAAAGCACTCCTGGAGTTCAGGAGCTTCCACTCTGTCCATGGTCAAAGCAGCAGAAGAAGCAGCAATAGCTGATGCAAAAAGACCAAAAAAAGCGGGGGGGGGGGGAGAAAAAAGGCGGCAGCTTGAGTCAGTTTCCTGGGGCGTTCCAGCTCTGCTCGTGTGGGTTTCCCTGTGGTGGGTTTCTGCATCGGCCCAGGAGGAGCAAGAAAACAAGAGCACGGCTGCCCACACTCTGCCCACACTCGATAGGGAGCTTAGCCTGTTGTGAGGCGGCAGGAAAGAGGCGGATTTCAAACAAGTTGAGGAACAACCGCCAACAATCCCTTTCATTTATTCATTTCGGTTTCCTGTGGTTTCACATTTTTATTGAGCTATAAAGTGAGATACAAAATGCAAAGCAAATAGATAAGCAGTGGGGAGGAAGAGGGGGAAGAGAAGTGAGGAAGGGTAAGAAAAAAAAAAGAAAGAAAAGAAGCATTGACTTCTGACCCACTCTGTTGCAGTAAAATAAGGCACAAACATCAAATCCCAACTTTTTACTTTTTTCCTAATAATATGAGCAAGCCATTTCTATAAAGCTCTGTCAGCCTACTCGGTAAAATCCAAAGTCAAAGTTTCGTTCTTTTCCACTTCAAGCATGAAGCTCAGAAGCAGTCTCCACGTGGCAGTGGTGGGTTTCAAAATTTTCTAGAACCTCTTCTGTAGGTGTGGCCTGCTTTGTGGGAGTGGCTTGNCCAGAATTCCCCAGCCAGCGAATGCTGGCTGGGGAATTCTGGGAGTTGAAGTCCAGACATCTTCAAGTTGCCAAGGTTGAGAAACACTGTCTTAGGGAATGAGCTGGTTTATAGTAACTCCTAGCCAGGCTACTAAGTCTTCTGCTCCCATGTTGCTCATGGCTTGATGCGCCAGAGACTTTGCAGCTCACCCAGCAGCAAACTGGAAACCATGGCAGTTTCTATCATCTTCTTCAAGGTCCAGCTAATCCACTCAGCCGATTCCCCACCTTGTAGCTTCTGTGCCAGAAGTCCCCTATAGAAAGTATAGCTAGTCTTCAACTTATGATCATAACTGAGCTGAAAAACGGAGGTTGTTAAGTGAGGTTTGCCCCCGTTTTACGCCTTTTTTTTTTTGGCCACATTTGTTAAGCGAACCACTTCAAGCTGTTAAATTAGTCACATGGTTGTCAACTGAATCTCGTTTCCCAGTTGACTTTGCGTGTCAAGAGGTTGCAAAGGGGAATCACATGACTGCGGAACACTGCAACCGTCGTGTGTGCCAGTTCCCAAGCGTCTGAATTTTGATCACATGCGTGTGTGTGTGTGAGAAATGGCCACAAGTCACTTTTTATCCTTGCCGTTGTAACTTCGAGTGGTCACTAAATCAATTGTTGAAAGTTAAAACAACAGAGGACTACCAGAATTTGGCTGCAAAAGGAAAAAGAAAAAACCCAGCTGATAACTAGGGTGGCAAGTGAGGTCTATAGAAAACTCTTTGCTGCCCTCTAGTGATGGTCTGGATTTTTTCCTCACTCAGAGCTGGGAACTCCTGTTCTTGTTATTAATTGCGAAGTCATATCTAACCCATCGCAACCCCATGAACAACGTTCCTCCAGGCCTTCCTGTCCTCTATCATCTCCCGGAGTCCACTGAAGGTCACGCCAACTGCTTCAGTGACTCCATCCAGCAACCTCATTCTCTGTCGTCCCATTCTTCTTTTGCCCTCCATCGTTCTCCAATGAGTCCTTCCTTCTCATCAGGTGGCCAAAGTCTTTGAGTTTCCTCTTCAGGATCTGGCCTTCTAAAGAGCAGTCAGGGTTGATCTCCTCTAGGACTGACCGGTTGGATGGCCTTGCAGTCCAAGGGACTCAATGCAGGAGTCTTCTCCAGCAGCAGAGTTCAAAGGCCTCCATTCTACAATTCAATTCCTCCATTGAACTTCTGGAACTCCTGCTGCCATTCAAATGTGAGGTCAGCAACGTATAAAGCTGGTTTCGATTTCCTCTTCCTCCAGGATGTTGCCTACATCCAGCCAAAGTTCACAAAGGCATTCGTGGTCACAGAGATGCCTTGAGAAAGACTCTTAAGAGGCTTGGGAGAAACTCTTTCCTCTGGTCCTTAGCAGCATTAAATAACGTTTAAACAATCAACCAAGGCTTCAGCAGTCCATGTCCCCTTTCCGAATTTGGTTTCAGAGTGCGGTTTTACATTCATCTGGGTTCATGTTAATTTGGTTAGGGTTTTCCGCTATGTTCCACCGCGATGTGTCAGAAAAATTTGAATACTGTCCAAACAGCACTGTCCTAGGCTTCTTCAAAAAAGCTATTGTTCGATGATAATTATCTTCCAAGCCTATCTGCTAGGTATGAGTGGCAGCCACATTTATTCTCTTTTGAAGCAGAAATCCATAAAGGTTCCATTCCTGAATATTGCTTCTGTTCTGATGAAAAACACTTCCCCCACTTTCTGCCTTTGTTCTCATCTGCGTCTGCCACCCGCAATCACAAAATCACCGTCCCCAAATTGGGTATCTACCTGGCTAGAGGTCCTGGCAATCCCATTTCATCTGGAAACACTTGGAAAAAGACTTAAAGCTAATGTAAATTACATTGTGTGTTCATTTCCACCAGTTAACAATTTGTTAGGAAGTTATCAACATTTCTGGATCATTTTCACCCACGTCTGCTCCTGTAACTCAGCAATAATGCAGACTAAAATCTAATTATAGTTTTGACTTCCTTTGGTGGGAATCTAGGCTTAATTTTAGCTAGAATTAACCCACAGTCTAATCTGATTAATTTGGGTTCTGCGTCCCTGGTTCAGTGGACATATTTTCAATATGAATAAATTTAGGTCCATTAATGGTAATTAATTTCAATGAATCTGCTGGCCCAGGTTTGCATTATCTGTTTGAAGTAAAGCCACCATTTCAAATGGAAAGATCAGATGATAACAGAGCCCGTAACATTTTGGCACAATTATATACATTGTTGTGTGTAGCCTCATAAATGGGTTCAAATAATTGTTAGCGAATGTTTGCTTAAGAACCAGTGCTTCTCTGTTTTTTAAACATGTTCACAAACAGTAATACAATATCTGCACTTTACATTAAAAAGATGTACCAAGATTTGTTATTGCTGCCTGTGACTTTTCCCCCTTTAATTCTAGCTTTTATAAACTTTGAAGGCCCATTCCTTCAAAAGATTGTATTCTTTCCTCCACTCTGGTTAGAGCTATCAGATCTGGTTTGCAACTCTGAATGTCCATTAGATGATAGCAAAGACCTATAGTAGAGAATATTTGTAGCTCGGGGATAAACTGTGGGGTCCTTGGTGCTCTCTGAGCTTGGTGGTATTCTTGCAGACATTTTGTGACCCAACTAGGGAACGTCTTCAGTGCTTCGAAGAGAGGGGGGTTTGCTCTCTGATGATGTCCAATAGTTTGCCGTGTCAGTGTTGGTGGGGAGAGCTCCTTGGTAGTTTCTTGATTGTTCCTGTGGTTTACTGTTTGATTGTCCATCTGAGTTGCTAGTTCATTAATTAGAGTACTGTTGGTTTTGATTATTTATCAGGTATTAATCCTGGTATTAATCTCTGTTTATCTGGTTGTTGATTGCTGGCCAGGAGGTGCTCTGCTCTTTTTGTTTCCTTTTAGTTTTTCCACTGCTGTTCTGAATCAAGTCTAAAGGTTATTTATGTGCCTGTTGGTGACAGATTTGTTGGCATGCCAAGCTTCTGGGGATTCTCTAGTATTTTGGGATTTAACTTGGTCTAGGATGCTCACAGGTTACCAGTTGAAACTATGGTTCATTCTAAGCACATGTAGACATGTATTATGTGGTGACAGCAAGGAAGTAGAGATTTCCGTTTCTCTTAGCAGTTATCTAGTGTTTGTCCAGATTTCTTATCCCAGATATGGTATTGCTACTGGCAATCTGTATCATCATCTCTCTTTCTGCCTTCATAGTCCCCCCCACCAAAAAACAACAACCCACTCTTCTTTTCCTACGAATAAATCAATCTACTGACTGTGTAGGTGTTTTAACACAAAATAACATGATTTTCCTGTGGATAAGGGGAACAAACTTCCTGTGTCAAGCAAAGGATTGGGCTAGTTGATCCACTCTCGGGGTTAAGAGTCGGTTAAACTTAGAACTTTCTCTACGCCACACATTTTGTGATTCTATGGTTTTTGTCCTCAAGGTCTTCTCCACATGGAAATATGGTCTATTGAACTAATAAGAACATCCCTGCCAAACTATATTTCTTTCTTATGAGCTTCAGGGCCTGAACAAACAGTTGGGCGGCTTCTGTGCTGAGTAGTAATTGCAACGAATTGCAAGAAAAACAACGCTGGAACACACCTCATCTCTTTCATGCCCCATTGATTTCAGCAGGAGTACTGAAGCTTGTCATGAACTAACCCAATATCCAAACACAAAAGAAAGAAAGAAAGAAAGAAAGAAAGAAAGAAAGAAAGAAAGAAAGAAAGAAAGAAAGAAAAAAGGAAGAAAGAAGAAAGAAGAAGAAAGAAAAAGAAAGGGAAGGGAAGTAAGGAAAGAAGAAAAGAAAAGAAAGGAAAGGAAAGGAAAGGAAAGAGAAAAAGAGAGAAAGGAAGGAAGAAAAAAGGAATGGAAGTAAGGAAAGAAAGAAGGGAAAGAAAGGGAGGAAAAGGAAAGAAAGAGAGAAGGAAAGAAAAAAAACAA